AGTTTTCAGAGAGGAAGTATGCGTATGTGTATTGGACTCTGGATAGAAGAAATAGATATTTCTTTTTTTATCTATCTGTAGGTAAGGAGGATATTAGAGATAGGAAGAATGTATATAAAATATTGAGGTCATATTGACATTAGAATTTACCTTTGTTTTATTTCCCCATTTCCCTTATTACAGTTTGTATGATACATATATATATATATATAATATTTGATTTTTTAACCCTCCCTGTCGGTGCGGGAAACTGCAGGTCACACGCACCCCTGTGCGTGTAGTGCGAGGTCTTTCTGACCTCACAGCTAAGAGGGCCGCTCAGTGGCTAATAGGTGGGTAGAGTGTAGCCAGGATCCGAGGACGGAGGGATGACTCCTATCCTTGATAGAGTGGGATGGTGTGAGATTTCATCACACTACTCAGAACCGGGTGCAATGGAACACTTACCAATTGTTTATTTCTGGTATCTTCCATTTAATATTTTTAGACTGCAGTTAACTGTGGCTACTTGAAATTGTACAAGGTAAAGCCCCAGATTAAGGGAGACTTAGTGCAGTTTGTCTACCTGTGTACGCAGATACACTTGTTTAATTGTTAGCCACGGTGGTAGCTTTCAATATTTCACATCTTAAAGAATCAAAGTGTCACTATAATAGAAACAATCTACTTTTAATAAGGATGTTTATAGTTTTTTTTTTGTTGTTGTTGTTGTGTTTAATTTTTGCCATTGTGCGTGTACACTTACCAGAGAGAAATCGAGAGAGAGGGAAAGTGAGAAAGCATTCCCCAGGAAGGATGGCCACACCACAGTCCCTTCTACGTCATTCTACCCTTGAGATTTTGGGCACACACATACCCGGTGTGATTTTCAAGTCACCAGGTCTGACTCTTTAACTGCACAGCCAGCCATGTGGGACCCAGCATTCTTAACTAACTCTGTGCCACCTATTGGCCTAGGGCCTTAATAGTTTTACACATTTTTTTTTTAAGTGTCCTAATAATTGTTATAAAAACTTCACTCAATGCAGATGACTTCTGAGTACTCTTGGTGACATTTGACTTACTGGTAGAGATGGGTAGAACAGTCCAACGTAATGAGCAGCTTTGAGTCCTCATAAGGGCCTTCCGTCTTCCTCCACTAGACTGATCGGATGACGTCACATATGCACTGGCATTCGTGCAGGTCAGTTCTTTTGGCTAGAAGAATAGAGACCCCCAACTATAATTTCATGTAATTTCACGTGACAGAATGAGTTCCAGGAATGTTTGTCTACTGTGTGTAATTTTGATGCACCTTATGTTCAAGGACTTCCCCCTCCCCTAGTTAGCAAATACATGCCAGTCTTCCATGACGACTTTATTAAACCTAATTTGGGCAGTGACGACATTCTGTCAGTTCTGCTCCAGCATAACTCTTTGCTGTGACACCACCTCTTTCACTTTGAAGTTCCTGCCTTGTTTTAGGCTTTAATTTCTCTTCTTTGTGTTACGAAGTTTGTTTTTTGGCTAGCCAGCATGTGGTAGTTGGTAGCGGAATCCCATAGGGCAGACTGTGTGGTTAGAGTCCCAGCTCAGAGGCTCAGAAGCTCTCAGGGTGTGTGTGCATGCCCTGAAGGGAGGGAGAGATGGAGAATGGATTGTAGTGTGACGCTCCCTACTGGGAGCGTGCTTCCTCAACTCCCAGGTCTCTCCTGTGAGCACATGTGCCTGCTAGCAAAAATTAAATAGTAAGAAAGAAAAGCAAGGGTGTGTGTGCATGCCCTGAAGAGAGGGAGAGATGGAGAATGGATTGTAGTGTGACGCTCCCTACTGGGAGCGTGCTTCCTCATCTCCCAGGTCTCTCCTGTGAGCACATGTGCCTGCTAGCAAAAATTAAATAGTAAGAAAGAAAAGCAAAAGGTTGCTTGACTGCCTGCATTCTTTCCCTGCCATCCTACTGTAATGCCGTAGAATGTTCTTCCCACTTGCAGTTTCTTACCTCTTTCTCTCCCTTTATTTGCAGTTTTCAACAATTTATTTTAGAAACTTGGAGAGTTACACATATACAGAAAGTGTACTTTATTGTATAGAATTGACGACTGTGGTCCTTATGGTGTCTTATTTTACAATTGTTTAGTTTGTGTGCTGTGCACGTAACATTATACACACACACGTATTTACGTTTTCAAAGTTGAATCAGTCTCAGCATTCTTTACCTTTTAGAAAGCTTACTGTTTGGTTACCATCTCCCTGTGTTTTTCTGCATTTCTTTTGCTCTATAATATAGATGTATTCTGAGTTATGTCTTGTCATTGGATACTAAGGTATTTAGGTGGATACTAAGGTATTTAGGTCTTTCCCTCCCTTCTTCCCTTCCTGCCTTCTATTATAAGCAACATTGCAGTTCCTTGCAGCTAAATTGTTTGGACAGATCAATGTTTCTTTCTTAGGAGAGTAGAGTAATGGTTCCAAAATATTGTCTTCTCTGTTAGACCTATTTCACCTCTCCATTGTGGCCAGCATGACTTTTTCATCCTGAAAGCTTTGTCTGGTCCCTGCCTACCTTTCTGTCTTTGTCTTGTATCTCTTTCTCACACTCTCCAGCTACACCAAATCACAGATGCTTTTTAAAACGTGTCTTACTTGTGCATGTCTATTTGCCTTTTCTTATTTACCCAGAAAATAAATAGTTCTTCAGCCCTGTACTCTAGACCTGTTGTTTTTGTTTTTAATAATCTTTCCTCCGTTTAAGAGAAAGAGAGAGAAGAGAGGGAAACAAGCACCTCTGAAAGGGCCCTGTTGAACCATAATCCATCCCCACACCCTGGCCTTTTCAGCCAGCCAGGACTATGGGTGTGCCCATTGCCTGCAATGTTTCTGGCTGACCCAGGATCGGAACCAGGGTCTTCCACGTGGCTCCATTACTGGAGAGTGGCACCTGCTGCTTGTTACATCATGGCTGGGTCCACCTCTGTGTGTGTCCTTGATCTCCCTAGGCTGAGTTAAGTCATTCCTCCTTTGCATTGTGTATACTCCTCTGTCGAAATGCAAATAGAATCTTTCTAAAATTTTGGAACTTTAGTCTCCTCCACTAAGCTGGGAGCCTCTCAATGGCAAGGACACTGTTCTGATAGTCTTTCTTTTTCCAGTACCTAACACATCATACACACTTAATAAATGTTTGTTTGAATAAATTTGAGATCTGGGGGAAGGACAAATCTCATAATTGTAGCTTACTTCAAAATATCATGAAGAAAAACTTACTTGACTGAAAAATATGGATAGCATAGGTGTGGTAGTATTTTTTTAAGGAAATCGTATGTTTTTTTAATAATCATTTTTTTTTCAGTTTAACTTTATTTATTTTAAATTGGCCAGAGAGGGACAGAGTGAGAGAGAGAGAGGGAAAGTGAGAAATCAAACTGCCAGGTCTGGGACTCAAACCACAGTCGGCCATGTGGGAGTCCAGTGCCCTTAACCACCATGTCACCTCCTGGTATGATAGTAGTTTCTTTTCTTTTCTTTTTTTTTTTTTAAATGCCATGAGTTATTAAGAAAATATGTAATAATAATAACTGATGCCTGCATTTACTATTGAAACTATATTTTTATTAATCTTAAGAGAATTTAAGTGAAATATAAACATTTTGCCTAAGTTTTATTTGAGAATGCTTAACTATCCCACGAGAGGGGTATTCAAAAATGTAATAAAAAGTGCATATTAGGAAAAATTTGCATGGATTTTAATTCTCAAATTTTTATTTCAAGTTATTATCTATTTTTCTAAATAAACTCATACCTTAATTCTTTTTCTGCGCAGTTTTTGAAGTCCTTTTGTATATATGCAAATACACATTTGTATATGCCAGTACTTATAATTTGTGCCACATAATTGTATGATGGCTATTTTTTATAAATTAACGTCTGAATAGATTTAAGAAAAGCTGAGCTAAGTAAAGAATATTATTGGGTTATTAGAAATATCATTGCATTTTGCATAGAAAAACACATCATGACTTTTCCAATAACTTGGTAGAACCATAAACAGTAATCACTGGGAAGATAGAATAGTGTCTTGAAAGTCTTAATACAGGGGCTGGCAGCGGGTATGGTGGTTAAAGTGCTGAACCCCCGCATAGCTGGCTGCAGTTTGAGTCTTGGACCTGGTGGCTTGCTTTCTTTCCGTTTCTCTCTGATCAAATTGAAAAATAATAATAACAAATTAAAAAATTAAATAAATTAAAAAAGAAAGCCTTAATACCTCAGTCCTGAAGAAAATGTTCATTGATACCATAATTAAGGAAAGTATTTTGGATTATAGAGTAATTGATCTACCCTAGTCATTTTAAGTCTCTTTCGAGATTTTCTGCTTAATCTTTCAAAATGGTGGAAATTTTATTTGATCATAAAATTCTTTATCCCCAGAGACTCCAGAGTCCTTCTTATTGTTTATTTAAATGTTAGTTTAAATATTTTATGATTTCTTTTGCATTGGGCTAACCTAAAGTATGTTATAACTAATAATTTTGTTTTAATTGCAAAAAGGCTTGTGTATTTCCCCAGAAAGAGACAGAGAAACAGAGAGAGAGGGAAAGGGAGAAAGTGCCCACCGATGGGGTGTGGTCGTGCCTCAGTCCCTTCTGCATTTCTCCATCCTTCAGAAAAGGTTTGGATGGGGGACACACACACACACACACACACACACACACACACAAACACACACACGCCTGGTGTGTTTCTCAAACCCCCAGGGCTGGAACTTGGACCATGGTTGGCCATGCAGGGTCTTCTCCTTAACAGGGAAGGCAGTGGGGCTGGCCCATCTGTGACTATTAATTCTCCCTCACACTTGAAGAACTGCAGAGGATACGGGAAGCTCTCGTGCCAGTAACCCCTGCAGTTCTTTAAGTGTACTTTGTTTTGCCATCGTACTCAGCACTGAGCACAGTGTCTTAGCGTTTGGTATTGGATAGGTTATACTAACTGGTGTATTAATGTCACGTTCTCATCTTTTTTTAAAGGTAATGTGGCTCTAGATAATCTACAGATAAAAGAAAATGCTCTGGTAAGTTTTTTTTATGTGCTAATACAGTTAATTTGGTAAGTTTTTTAGAGACATTTGGTTACTAGGCATCAGGTACCAGGTACCAGATAAAGTGACTGAGTCACTCAGAGAAAGATTACCTATTTAACTCCTTGCTCGTAGAAAAGTTGAGAGTAAAGATTTAGAAAAAAAAATTTTTCCCCCTAATGATCAAAATATTAACAGTATCTCTACGAAAACGGAGTTTTTTTTTTTTTTTTTAAACCTACTTTGACTATATAGCTTTGTGCTTAACATTTTTCTTGGCAGAGATAGTTTTCTTCCGAATTATCCTTACATATTTTTCAGGTAGATAAGGGCATGATTTTAATAATTTATCTAATGGATAATTGTGGTTTTTGGAAATACATCGATAGTCTAGCCTTGTACTAGTATGATAATATTAAGAGGTAAAATAGAGTATTTTGGACTCCAGCTGCAGAAAGTAATCCATGCCATTTATTGTTGAGCTAAAAACAAAACAGTATTCCTCTCTGTCCCCTAGTTAGGGTTATATTTAGCCTTTGAGCTAAATTTCAGTTTACAAAGTCATTTAAGAATGAGCTTATTCTTCATTTTTCAAGTACCTAATTTCTATTTTCTTAATTTCTTGGCACATCAGTTTAATAATCATTAAAGTGACATGAATTACAAAACAGTGTAATATCTCTGTCACTTTGTGGCTAGAATGAGGTAAGAAGAGCCTGGCACATAGTAGGTACAAAGTTATTTAAATTTCGTTTCCTTTCTATAGGATGCTATAACTTTTAACATTTTATCCAAAAACTTAGAGCTTACAATTCTATTGTTAGAGATAGGAATACAGGTTATTTTTTCTCTGTTTATATATTTAATAAGAAGATAAGTATAGTAGAATTGTGGCAACAGGATATGTATTAGATAAATTTAAGAGAAAAATTTGTTTGAATTCTGTGTTAACCTAATTTGAATTTTGGTTATAATTAAATATAATAAATTATTTGTAATTTATATTCTTCATTAATCAAAAAAGCCTGCTTTGGGGACCAGCAGTTGACGTAATGGCTCTGTTGCTGGACTCCCATGTAGTTGACCATGGTTCGAGTCTCATACCTGGTGGCTTAACCTCATGCCGGGCGCATGTGCGTGCGTGCCCAAGGTCCCGAGAGGAGAATGGAGGAGAAGGGATTGCGGCTCTTGCCATCTCCCCTGGGGGGTGATTTCTCACTTTCTGTCTGGCGCCCTGTGACGAAACTCTACGCGCCCCCCCCCCCAAAAAAAAAAGCCTGCTTTCTCCAACTAAACTAGAGTTGGGAGGTCTTATTGTGATGTGGGTTCTTTACATTTATTTTATGTGAAAATTATTACAGGACGTAAGCAAGTGTGATACTAAATTTTCATAAGTGTGTAGTTTGCAGTTTATATCCTGTCTAATGTGAATTTCCTTGAATTTCTTTTTTGATCTACAAAAGGGCAGAGCTGCTGTCTTATTGAATATGTGTGTGTATATATATATATGTGTGTGTATATATATATATATATATATTTTGGTTTCTAAAAATGACTTTGTTAAAAGTTATTACTATTCCATTTAATTTCTATTTACTTAACAATGCTTTAGTAAACAGACGATCAGGTGAATCGATTATTTTAGTTAATTGTTACTTAAAGTACTATATTAAAGTTTGTTAAAAGCTATTACTGTTTCATTTAATTTCTGTTTACAACAATGCTTTAGTAAAGAGAGGATCAGGTAAATTGATTATGCTAGTTGTCACCTAAAGTACTGTATTAAAGTAGCCAGATTTTTACAGTATTGGGAGAATTCCTAAGAGGAAGGATATATTGACTGGTTTAATTTTTAATAATTCTAAAGACTGAGGAGATTGTTAGGAATATCACTTATTGTTTACTACTCTGGGACTAAAAACTAGAATTTTCTACTGGTTTGGACAGTTCATGATTTTGATTGGTACTTTTCTGTAACTTTTCTAAAGGAAGAGCTAATTTGGTAAAAATATATTGAGAATTTACCTTGTCTTTGAAAATTGTATTACTTATTCATTTACTAAATATTTTATTTGAGAGAGAATAGTTCAGTTTTTGTTTTCAGCCAGCTTAGGTGAAAGGACTCTCTTCCTTTTCCTGTCTTACTTAGTATTTCAGATATGCAGTGTCCATCTTTTTAAATTCATGGTATTTCCGTTTAGCTTTGTTTAAAACAAATACTTTTGGTTTAAAATAAGTAACCAATTTACCCAGTTGCTTTGTTTAACTAGGAACTCTTTCTGTATTTTTTTCTATATATGATTTTGCTTCTTTTGTGAATTCTTTCTGTGAAGTCAAAGTTTTAGATAATAACTTTTTTTAGCCCTAAAACATGTCCTTTATGGTTATTCAAATGCAGAAAACAGATTTTTAAAAAAATTTTGTTTTTGTTTTTCTGCATTTAAGTGATTATTCAAAACTGATTTTGTGGAGGAATGGGGAGGGAGGCCTTAATCATTTAAGATGTTCTTTAAATTTTTTCTTCCTTCTAAAGAGTGAATTGGATGTTCCTTTTAAAGTCAAGGCTGGCCAGATCGGTAAGTACTTCATTCTTCATTTGAATTATTCTTAGTCCTTTAGTTTTTTATTTTGCCTGTATTACTTAATCAAAAATCTTGCCCAAAAGTATGAGAGATTTTTGCTTATGTTAGAGTGTATAGAGTTTGGAACCTAGTGCGTATCATACAATACATCCATACTTCAATTGTTTTTCTTTTTACAAAGGGGTAGAAAAATCACCCTCTACAATGGAAGGATATTTGAACTGTAGTTATGTTCTTCAGGCTTTGGTTCTACTGCACAACATTTATCTACATTTTCAAAATTGATATCCAAGTTTAGTGTGCTTTTAAAAAATGCGTAAAAATAGTATAATTTGCAAACTGTAGTAATAAACTTTAAATGTAGTTTATTTCCCTCATGTTTTGTTCAACCATTTTCACTTGATATATTATGCAGCAATGTGGTATGGAGGATATATTTTGGTAAGTACAAGTCTCTTTCTTTGCAGCCAAACTCTTGTGCTAAGACCATCCATAACAGCATATACCTTTGTTGAAGAAATTTTTCAGCAGGGTATTTAATCTACAAGATCCTTTCAACTAGTCCATGTACCTGATTTTTTTTTTTTTTGAAGTATATGTATGAATTCACAACCCTGGGTGGCTCAGCCTTATCATTCCACATCCTTCCTCCCATTTCCATCGTCTTGCAGTTATACCACATTGCTTCCCTTCCTCGTTCAGTATTCTGTGTTTTAGGGATGCTTTTTGTCTTCCTCCTACTCTAGCATCTCTTAGTAGTTACTCGGATACTTCTGTTTGGGTCCATTTTATGTCATATGGATGTGTTCATTTAATGAAAAGGAACATTTTCATGTTTTTGTCTCTTGAAACAGGACATTTTTTTTGGTTGAAAGCATTTCTAGGGGATGCATCATCTTTTTTGTCTGTCTTTCAACAGTGCCAAACGGTGGTGGTGATGTTAAGCAGTTCTCTAGAAGTATTGTTGTAGTCCTTTATGCTAATTGAAATCTTAGAGTGTCTGTATTATAGCCATTCATTCATTCTTTTACCTTTGAAATATTTGTACGCACATGTATACAAGACTGCACAAGTAGCTATGGGAGAGGCAAAGATAAATACGGTATTTTTATCCTCAGTAAAGTTACAGAGATTTAAAATTAGAACATAGATTGAAATTGTATTTCTAGTGTATTGGATAAGTTATAGTTAAAGATATTTTGCATCATTCATTATATTTTTACAACTAGATTTATATATTTTATTGTTGTTACTATTTTTTTTAAGGTCTTTGCCATAGGGCATGTGGGTTCACCAGAGAGACAAGGACAGTGAGAGGGAAAGAAAGAAATCACCCCCCCAGGGGGTATGACCACACTGGAGTCCCTTCTTCTTCATTTTCCTCTTGAGATTTTCAGCATGCATGCACACGTGTCCAGTGTGAATTTCAAGCTACCAGTTCTATGACTTGAACTGGGTGGGCCATGTGGGAGTCCAGGGCCTTAACCACCTCGCCACCTGCTGGCCCCATTATTATTATTTTTTAATGCCATAGGGCACATGTGCTTACCACAGAGAGATAGAGAGGAAGGAAACAACCTCTCAGTGGAGTATGGTCATGCCACATTCTCTTCTCCATTTCTCTCTCCATCCTGTTGGGATTTGGGGCATGGATGCACACATGCCCAGTGTTTTAATCAAGCTGTTGAGGCCAGAAGTTGAACTGCCATCAACCATGTGAAATCTAGCATCCTTAACCACTAGGCCACAGAGCTGTCTATATACATATCTATCTACCTACCTACATACCTATCTATGTACATACCTATCTATCTGTCATCTATCTGTCTATCTAGCTATCATCTACCTATCTACCTACCTACCTACCTATCTGCCTATGTACATATCTATCTATTTATCCATCTATCCTTCTATCTCTCTTTATATATATCTATTTATGTATATTATGTATTTGTGTATTACGTGTAAATCTATCTATATGTTTACTATTTTATTTATTTGTTTCGTGAGAGAGAGGAAGGGATGAAAGGAGGGATACCTCCAACAGGGTCTCAGCACTCTGCAGTCCTCCAGCTGTCCCTAGCCACGGATGCACACAGACATGCCCCAAGTGTCCACATTGACCCGAAATTGGAGTCGAGTCCTGCCGTGTGGCTCCAGCATCACGTAGTGGTGCCCTCCTTCCTGCCTGTGCTACCATGAGACTGGGCCCAGATTTATATTTTGGAGAAGATTTTCTAATGGTTCTGAATTTGCTCCTTTTGTTTAGAAGTATTCTAAAGACTGAATGACTTTCTTCAGGGTTACTCTTTGATCTACAAGACACCCTTTAAGGATGCAGGGCATATTTCTTTTATACTTATTATTTTATTCCGGTTTATGAAACAGTGTATTAATTATTACTTTGCTTAGGTTAAAATATTATACCTAACCTGTGGAATCAGTGTGGATATGTAAACTCAAGTTAGACATGTTTGTGGGTGCCCTTGGGTTATCCTTTTACTTAAAATTAAAAAAAAAAATTCTGATTTGTAAAAGGAGGCAGTAATATAACTAGCTATAATCTAGGACCTTTTGGAGGGAATTTTTCTTTTTTTGAGGGCCTTTTTCTTTTTTTGAGGGGAGAAGAGAAAATGAATTAGGAGAATAGAAGAAATAGTTTAGAGAATAGATAATCTCATTTAAGTATGCTAGTTGAAGGGACATTTCCCATTTTTTTCAGTATTATGCTGACCAAGAAGGCAACCAAATCTTGTTCCGAAGTTATAATTATGAATATTTTAGTCTTCATTATAAATTTATATATTAATTATATATATGTACACTATAAATATATAATAAATATATAAAATCATCAAGCTTAGAATAACCCAAAGTATCCTGAAGTTAATTACCTCTGTACTCCCTGACATGGGAGCTATTTAAGAAACTCAGTAGGTTTACAAGCTCGAAGAGAAGTTACAATTTAAATGTCGGAATAATTTGACCCTGGGACTAGATTCCCAGGTAAAACTGCCTGGCCTATCTAGCCATTCAGGTGACCCCAAATTGCCTTCTTCTTTTTCTTTTTTAAATGCAAAATATCCTTCATATTACATTACTTTATTTCCTCTTCAACTTGTCATACCACTTATCAAATCTTTGAACTTTGAGCATCTTTATTTAAAAATGCCAGTGATTCAGTGATTCAGATGGTGTAAGTGTCTTAGTCCTTTACATACTAGCATGTTTTAGTTGAAATAGATTCTTTTTTTCTAAGTTTCTGAGTTTTAAGCTGTTGGGTCCAGGACTTGAACTGCGGTCAACTATGTAGGAGTCCAGCGAGGTAACCGTTACACTGTGTGCTGGTCCCGTTTGTAAGAGTCTGATCAGTTGAGAAAATTGTAGCTTTTATAGTACTATTATTTTTCTTTTCTTTCTTTTTTATTTCAGGAAGAGATTTTTGCTATAGGGTGCATACACTCACTGGAGAGAGAGACAGATAGCGAGAAATCACCCCCCGCCCCCCAGGGTGAATAACCATGCCGCAATCCCTTCTCCTCTGTTCTGCTCTCAGGATCTTGGGCACGTATGCACACTTGTCCAGTGTGAGGTTTAAATCTCTGAGTCTGGGACTCAAACTGCAATCAACTACATGGGAGTCCAGCAACATAACCATTAGGCCATCTGCTGGTCCCAGTGCCATTATTTAAAAAAATACAATGAAAGAAGGTATTTTATTTTGGAACATAGAAAACTTAAGGCTTTAGATAGAATTGCCATAGTACTGAGGAGGGGAGACTGTTAAGTCTCCAGATAATATAGTAGAGATTGGGAAAAGAATAAAGAGAGAAATACGGGAAATGACAAAAACTGCTCTTGCCCCATTTCAGATTAGCTGAGAGCATGCTCTTTTTTGTCTTCCTTTTCTGCCCTGCATAGCCTTTCCCCCGTAAAATTCCAGACTTAAGTTAGTAATATGGAAGCTCTAGTTCTTGTGTATTAAGAGTGAAAGTTTTTATAGGCTCGGAAAGTTTTGTTTCTGAGAGAGAAAATGTGCTCTGCCTTCCAGGGGTTTATAAGTTGATGCGGGAGTATAACTGATTTGAGTAGCCGGAACTCATGACACTGTTCATGAAGCAAGGTCCCTTGCCTTAAGAGCTGGCCTCTTCTGTCGGTAGTGATGTGTCAGACAAAGTCCTCTTCCTTTGGGCCAGCAGGTGATGTAGTGGTTAAGGCGCTGGACTCCCACAAAGTTGACTGCAGTTTATGTCCCAGACCCGGCGGCTTGAAACTCATACCAGGCGCATGTGCATTTGTGCCCAAACTCCTGAGAAGAAAATGGAGAAGGGATTGTGGTATGGCTATACCCCCCTGGGAGTGATTTCTCCCTTTCTGTCGCTCTGCTTCTCTGGAGAGCACACACACCCTATAGCAAAACTGTCCCTCACTGTCCCTCAAAAAAAAATAAAAATGTCCTCCTTCTTTCGGGTTTTATGTTTTCCTACTGTGGTTCTTGGGATCTTGCACAGATGGTACTTTACATTTTATTTGTAGAGATTTAATTGGTGTGGATAGGACTGCATGTGTGACCTGGCTGGACTTAAACAATTTATTTAACCTCTCTGGTATTGAATTCTTTTTTTTTGTCCCCAAAATTGGAAATAATAGCTGCCTCATCCATTTTACAGTTTTGGAATATTAAATGAGATAATAGTTATCAAAAAGTTTGAAAAGTATAAAGCACAGCATGAATATTCACTTTTTTAAAAAAGGAATTATTTTATTTAACTTTTAATTAATTAATTAATTTTAATTTGACTACAGAGGGACAGAGAGAGAAAGTGAGAAAGCAAGTCTCCAGGTCTGGGACTAGAACCATGGTCAGCCATGGTGGAATCAAGTGCCCTCAACCAACACGCCATCGCTGACCCCTGAATATTCACTTTTAATAGTAATATATAGAAACAATCTGTGCAAACTTTGACACTGGAATTTTAAAACTTTTTCTGAGTGATATACATATGCATGAAGGATTTTATTATATTTTTTCTCTTAATGGAAAATGATAACTTTTTATCTTCTTGAGCAATGTAAGACTTTCAGGTTAAATTTATTATTATTTTTTTTTAGATAAATTAACTTTGAAGATTCCTTGGAAAAACCTTTATGGAGAAGCAGTTGTTGCAACCCTAGAAGGATTATATCTGCTTATTGTCCCTGGAGCAAGTATGTTACTTTAGGTTCTAACTATTCAGTTACATCACAGTGCGATTAGAGTGTTACCTGGATTATGCAGTTGATTATATTTAGTATGACAGAATATGATTTAAATAAACTGGTCATAGACATCTATACACACATATACAGATAGTCTATATATGTACACCTATTTTGCCGTATTTGTATTGAAAAGTTTTTGTTGTTGAAAAGAGTAAATTCTACTATTTAAAAATGTTATCCTATTGTCTGTAATTATTTTATAACTAAAACTCCTGTTGAGATGGATTAGGCAGATTTGCTGCTGGGTGATGAAACATTTAAAATATGTTTTTAAATATATAATGATGTATTAATCTATAGATTTCAAAATTGGGAAACTTTTTTTCTTTCCTAATTTGTTGCTTCTGATTTTGAGTGAATGTTCTCTTTGAAATTTGTGTAAAATAGGTAATTTTTTCCATTAGAAGTTAATAGTATTTTAATTTTAAGCAAATGACTTAGTATAGTGATATTTAAGTAATATCTTTAGTTATTTTTTTCATTCATAAAGAACAATATAATGTTAAGAAAAGATGGAATGTTTTGGGGAAAAGTCACTTACAATTTCTCAACCATAATACATTAATTTTTGCATTTCTTTCCAGTCTCTGTGTACTTGATTTTAAGTAGCAGATATCACATTACATATACATTAACCTGACTCTTTCACTCAACGTGTACATTTTTGATGTTTCACAGTTTTCATGGTGCTAGTAAAAATCTTGAGAGACTGTATAATACACCATTGTGGACTGCCTACTGAGCGAACTCTATAAATACCTCCTTCTTACTGATACTTTTTATTCTATGTTATTTCTTCCAAATATATTATCAGAAATGAGATCGCTAGATAGAAAGGATGTATATATTTTATGATTGTTGATATGTATTGCTGAATTATTTGCTGAAAGTCTTTTATCATTCTACAAGGATACCAGGTTGTATTGAATATTGAATTCTTCAAAATGTTGCCACTCTGAGACAATAACTGGCAGCATGCTGGTGTATTTTCTGGTTTCCCTCTGCTTCTCCCTCTTACTTGGCCTATGCACCTTTCCCC